CCATTCAGACTTGAACTTGCGGGATCAAAGAGACTACAACAGGCATGATCGGGCGAGAGAGCTGAGCTCTGACATCGCCTCAAAACGACGTGGCTGCTCCAACTCCAAGGTACGAGACGGTACGTGCGGGTACTCCTCTTGAGGAGACCGAGAATCAATTGCGGACGTGCTAGCCGGTTGGAGCGGGCAGAGGAGACCACGAGATCCAGGAGGTGCAGCCTCTGCCGCTTTGGAATTTGTTGGAGAGGTTCTCTCGTACTTCGTAACACAGTACGAACTCGAGTCCCGCACCCCACAGCTGGAGACCGGATTTGTAGCAAATGACGAAGAAGGCATCCAAGTAGCGATATAAGTGGCCCGCCAGCGCCGCCCAGTTTGAGCACAACAAGTTTCAAACTTCTCATCGTCCAAAGCAGCACCCAACACCGCTGTGATTCTCATAAACAATAATCAATTGCCATTTTCCCTTCTCTTTTTTTCATCCACCGCCACAGCAACAACCAACCAATGTAAGTTTGACTCGCGGTCTGTCCCCCTACATGAGGCAGCTGCCCCTCCATCAGCCCCTTTTTTCGCACCACACCTCCCCGTTCCCCCAGTCAGATGCAAGCGGTCTGCCAAACCACCATGCGCCAGTTGAGGATGGACGAGTCGTTGATCTCCCATCTCCCATTGTGCGACATCGTGGGCCATTCCGGCTGTTTCCTTGGTTGCAGCAGGTCTGAGGCACACTTATATCCGCGATAGCAGCATGCCGCTTCCCCAGCTCGCTCTGTAACGCGGAGCCACATCTTCCTGTCATGTAACCGCATTAGCTAGAGCTGTTTTCTTTCTCATCACTATCTGCCTGTCTCGCTTCTTATCGGCCCGCCATTCTCTCGGTCTGGCGGTGACTCGTTATCTGTAGCCACAAGGCTGCGCGGCTCAAGTATTGTGTTATCACGGCTGTCAGGGGGGGGGGCAGTCGAACGGGTCCTTCTTGGGTCGGATTGTCGAGAGCTTCAGCCGTTGGGCGCGCTTATCTCGCATCAGCTCCAAGCCTTCTTGTCTACACACTCACCGATTCTCCTGCTGCATGTGCTAACCTAGTTCTGCCGTTGTTCCAGACGAGCTAGCTACCCTGGTGTACTTCCCCAGACACCAGACACAGAATTGTCTTCGTGGTACCGCACTTCGCACCAACCCGATCCTACCCATCCTCTCCGTCTTACCTGCTCGTCCCTCCTTCCGCTATCGCAACCGAGCTACCAACGGCACCTCCCTTGACACTACCTACCGCACAACATATCTACCAGTCCCGACCCTCCGCCGAGCTTGCCCACCATGTCCGCTACAACGGCTCAGCAACCTCCTGTCATACCTCCGAGACCTTCAAGGAGTCAAGAGAGAGCACCCCTCCCAATGGTCCCTCCACGCCCTGCCAACCGGCGCTTCCAGCGCTCAATAAGTCCCAACCCGGACCGTTTCGCTCCCTCGCCGCTCAATGAGAGCCCTCTCGTCAAGTCCAAGTCCCTCCACCCCGGCGGCCGCAACCATGGCGATCCTATCCCCCGTTCCACCTCTGTCGACCTCCCCTCGCTCGGCGAAGAGGGCGCCGAATATGCCAACCTGGCTCAAGAGTCAAGTCCCTCCAACGAGGAGAGCACCAGCCCTGAGCACACTCGCACCGTCGGCGAGGATGTCAAGCTTCATGCGCCCAAGCCGTCCCTGCCCGCCGCCAGCGCAAAGCAGCGCGTGATGGCCGTCACCCGTACCGATAGCGACCGTGCTGCCGCCTTTGGTATCGGCAGGCCCAGCAGCAATGATGATTCCGCTGGTGCCTTGCCCTCGAACCGCAGCCTTAAGAAGAAGGCCAGCACAACCAGTCAGCTGTCCATCAAGAGCGATGTCGATGACGAGCACGGCATTCCCGAGATTGGCATCCAGGTTCCCATGCTCAAGTATGCCGGTGATGTTCAGGCTCCGTCGCCTGCCCCTTCAACTGTCGAGAAGAAGCACCACAGCCGCAGGTCATCCAGTCGTGGTAACCTGCCCCCTGGCAGTTACGGCTTGCACGGCCATGGTATGGGCCCTCAAGACAAGCTCGACAAGGCCTACTTTGAGAAGCACCCCGAGCTTCTCAAGAAGGAGCATGTGCTTCACCACTATGATCGTGTCAAGGACTTTTCCATGAGCAGTGAAGAGCTGAACAAGATTGTCCGTGAGACCATCACCCGTGGTTCTGGTCTTGGTGTCAAGAACTACTCTGGCACCCCCACCGACCAGGTCGCCTGGCAAGCTTTGGAAGAGTCGACCTCCCGTGTCGCCTCTCCCGGCCCTGGTTCTCCCAAGAAGCCCTCTTCAGTCATCTCGGATTCGGACAAGGACAAGGAAACCCGCCGCCCTTCTTCCATCAGTGACGTCATCCACGTCGAGGAGCCCAACCGCCGGAGGTCTGTGATGTTCAACGACAACGAGTCGCCCGCCGTTGAGGAAGACGCTTATGATGCGCCTATTCTGGCCGAGGACGAGGTTGCCAAGGACCCATCACCGTACGTTCACCAGCCTGCCGTTGAGCTCCCCAAAGAGGAGCAGCCTACCAGCCGCCCCACCAGCAGACCCGCCAGCATCTACAAGGAGCATTCGTTTGACCACCGTTCAACTCCTCTCGAGGATGTGGAGGAGTACGAGCCCCTTTTTGAGGATGATGACAAGGTTGTCAAGAAGGAGCCCGTCAAAGAGGAGAAGCCCAAGAGCGTCAAGAAGCAGCGTTTCCCTAGCGCCGACATCTGGGAAGACGCCCCCAGCTCCGTCTACTACACGGCTGAGGTGTCTACCCCAGATCTCTTTGAAGGCGAGGACAAGACCGAGAATGCGGCCAGCATTGTTCCTCCCACTAGAGATGGAGAGACCCCCGCTCAGGCGTTTGCCCGCCACCAGGAGGAGCTTGCCGAGAAGGAGGTCAGGGAACGCGGAGCCGATGGCTTCATTCCTGGTCGGACCGCGAAGCCTCTCTGGGCCAAGCACCAACCCCATCTCGTCAGTGAAACCAAGGCCGCCTCCCGTCCCGGTATGAAGAACCGCTTCCCCAGCCGCGACGTCTGGGAGGACACCCCTGAGTCCCTCCAGCTCGAGACCACCGTCTCCACTCCCCAGCAAGACGAATCTCTACCCTCGCCCGTCGAAACCTCCTCTCCCACCACCGCTGCCAAGAAGCCGGAGATCCCGTCTCGTCCCAAACCCAAGGTTTCTGGGGACGACCACAAGCCTGCCATCCCTGAGCGTCCCAAACCGGCGATTCCTGCCCGGCCAGTCAAGGCTGGCCCTACCTCTGGTGGGTTAGAACCTGCTGAGGCGGCCGCGCCCCCTAGGCAAAAGCCTGCTGTCCCGGCTAGACCGGTTGGCGGGAAGATTGCGGCATTGCAAGCCGGGTTTATGAATGATTTGAATAGACGTCTCCAGCTTGGCCCTCAGGCGCCGGTGAAGAAGGAGGAACCGGCGGAGGAGAAGGAGGAGGAGGAAAAGAAGGAGAAGGCGCCACTGGTTGATGCGAGAAAGGGGCGGGCTAGGGGTCCGCAGAGACGGGCGCCGAGTGCTAAGCAGGAGCCGCCCAAGGAAGCGCCCAAACCTGCTGTCACTTTTGGTGTGTCTTCGGCATTTACATTCTTTGAGATTGACCCTGAAGAGGGCGAGCTCAGTGTTGGCGGTGGTCATCCCAGTCTTGGGGAGCCGGAGTCGCCGGTGGAGAAGAAGGTGGAAGAAAAGGCTCCGGCTGTGGAGGAGAAGAAGGAGGAGACTCCGGTTGTGGAGGAGTCAAAACCGGAACCGGTGCCAGAAGCTAAGGTTGAGGAGACCAAGGCTGAGGAACCTAAGGCCGAGGAACCTAAGGAGGAGCCCAAGGTCGAAGAGCCCAAGGTTGAAGAGCCCAAGGTCGAGGAGCCCAAGGTTCAAGAGCCCAAGGTTGAAGAGCCCAAGACTGAAGAACCAAAAGCTGAGGCTGAACCTGAAAAGGAAGAGGAACCCGAGCAGAAGAAGGGTATCATCGAGACGGTCAAGTCGTTGGTGACAAATATGGCTGGGGAGACGATTGTCGAGGAGAAGGTGGAGCAGGATGAGGAGAAGAAGACTGTGGAGTCTGCTACTGCTGAGGAGAAGTGATTGTTCTTCTGCAGATGATTGTGATGACTTTTTTGTTCTTTTGAAAGTTGTTCAAGTCACTCCTTTGATTGCTTTTTTACTCTGAGCTTTAGCGTCGAGTTGTGTTTGGGCTATTTTGGGGAGGGGATTTTGAAAGGAAAAGAATGGGACTTTGGTCGTTGATTTGGGTGGTGGGGGGTAATGGGGTGGTGGTTGGAAGGGGAGTGGGAAGGGGGGGGGTGGTATAAAAAGTTGATATAATGAAGATTATTCGTTCTTTTTTAAGGGATACACTCTCTGTTCCGTTCTGAGTGTGATTGACAATGTGTGATATGTGAGTTGCTTATGACGGGGCTGGGGGGTGTGGGATGTGATAGGTAGGGTAAGCTGTTAGGTTGGGCATGAGTTTCGGAGCAGTTGAGAGAGGCTTTGGGATCAATGTGATTTGGTCTTTTGGTCTTGTCTGTCTGGATTGGACTTGCTGCTCTGCAGCAATTGGTCTTGTAAGAAGGTATGGTATGTGTGCTGCTCGTGTGGTTGGTCTTGACCTTTAACTCTATGCCTTCGACATTGATTACCTACCTGGTTGACTCCTCTCGAACCAACCCTAAGTTGTCTTCCTCTCCTATTTGAGATTCTTTCTACCTACTTTGTTCAATAATATTCCGGACTAACTGTCTTTCCCCCCAAAAGGCCCAAGCTCACCGGTGGTGACTCCCCCCCTTCCTTCCATCCTTAACACCCTCCTTCCTCCCCCCCTCCCCCCCTTTCCTCCTTCCTTCCCCCCTTCCACCCGCAACCAACCCAGGCAACCGCCATATGTCCCCCTCCTTCCCTCCATACTTGACTCCCCTCTCCCGCACCTCCTTCCATCCAACACACAGTCCCATATGGTGTAGTGGTTAGCATATCAGGTTTTCAAGCCTCCTCGAGGGGACCACCTCAAGAATTTGAAACCCACCCTGAAGCCCCGGGTTCAATTCCCGGTATGGGAAATTTGCTTTTGTGTTTTTCCTTTTCCTTTCAGGACGTGCTGTGTTTTTTGGAGGGTTGAAGGACATGTTGTGAAAGGTCACCGGTGGTGAGATATGCCAACTGTTGTTCTAGCCCAACTGTTGTTCTAGCCCAACAAGTAAATTTGTTCCTCAAAACAAGGATAACATTCGCATTGACCAGAGCTTTAACATCATATCCTTGCTCTCCTATGGACATTAAATCTCCAAACGGACGGGAATCGGTGGTGGGTGTTCATTTGCGTCGGTACATCGAATCTAGCGCGGTGGTTCAAACGCAGCATTAAGAACAGCATTTGATAACAGGAGGAAATGCTTCCTATTCCTTAAACAAAAAACAAAGGTAGAAATATAACCGTACGGGACACACGAAAATGCCGGCGCCAAAAACACCAATTATTCCCTGATTCCCCTCGTTTTTCCCCCCCCTGCCTAGAGCAAAAGAAAAAAAGTAATCCATATTCAGGCTCTGGTTTCTTTCTTCTTTTGCTGTATTACTAAAACAGTAAAACAGCAAGCAATAAACAATAAAACAAGGACCGACTGGCTCCTTCAATTGATCACATCACTTTAACACCCTCCTCCTCCTCCTTCTCCCCTGCTCCCCTCCTCATCCCCCCCCCCCCCCCCTCCTCATCCAACAACTCCCTATCTGATAACCATGCTGAATTCCCGGCCCAGCCAGCATCCATCCCCCCTTTCCCCCGGCTCCCTTTCCACAACCCCCCCGCCCCCTCTTCATCCCCTCCCCCTCTCCATCCCTCTCCACCATCCCCAAACTCACAACCACCAAAAAAACGACAAACCCTTATACAATCATCTGCGCCACCCCCTGCCCCCCCAACGTCTTACTCCCCACAAAAGCCTGCCCCTTCGCCCCCGCCAACCCATAACACGCCCCCGTAAAAGTGAGGAACACCGCCGCGGCGATCAAGCTCGTCCTCGTGCTGATGCAGCTCAGCCAAATGACCAGCGCCATGACCCCGTACGCCCCCGCGCGCATGTAGTTTGTCGAGATCTTTCTGATGGCGGCATCAAAGCTGGAAGAGGTGGGACAGATGCGGAGGAGGAGGGGGACTTCGACAAAGAGGATGACAAAGGAAAAGACCATGGCGAGGATGGAGAAGGCGATGATGACGATGTTGAGGGAGAAGATGGACGAGATCATGTTGGAGAGGCCGAGGGCGAAGCAGAGGATCATGGAGAGGATTCCTAGCCATTGGCCGTAGATGCCTAACACGGGGGAGGGGGGGGAGGGTTAGCTGGTGGGATAGTTCGATAAGGGGGAAGGGGGGAGGGAGGAAAAGGGGGGGGGGGGGGGAGAGACGAACTGAAGTTGCGGGTTTGGAATTCTTCTTTTAGGGTCATTTTGACGGTTGGGGGTTTGGTTACTAGAGGGTGATGTTGCTTGTGGAGGATGGGATAAGGTGGTGGTGGTTTCTTTCGCGGTGTGGTGTTGCTTGGTGGTGGTTCGAGAGCTTAGGTGTAAGCTTTGGTGGGTAGTTTGCAGGTTGTGTAAGCTATTCCCGATTACTCAACCCCTTGCTTTTCTTTTGATGCGAATGTCCCTTTTTTTTCCTCTGTCGAAACAATCCTGCAGTTGAATGTTCGTCCTAAAAACGTAGCTAGATAGCTGTCCTGCTGTTGGCGGCGGTGGTGGTGGTGGTGGATTCGGTTGCGACGGGCGACGCAACACACACAGGTGACAGAACCAAAGATGACGAGTCGTCGTTTCGATTGCGCCTCAATCCAGAAATCGATGGGGGAAAAATTGAAAACGTGGCTTCGTTAATCGCGTTTGTTTCGTTCGTTGGAATAAAGTATTTGCTTCCCTTTGTTCTGTCTAGCAGAGAGAGAGAGAGAGTGAGAGCACGGTAGGTAGTTAGTAAGAAAAGCTTACAGAAAGAGAGAGCTTGCTTGATTGTCGTAACAACACCTCTACTTTCTGAAGCGAAAAGCACTGACACACCGTTGGTCTTTTCGGATTCCCGGTACGCAAGAGACGTGGAAAGTGGGGCTGATTGTGATGTTCCGCAAGCGCTGATTGGGTAGTATGTGGCTGTAACACTGGTGACAGGCTTGACAGGGATCGGTGCAAAGCCGCTTGTTCCTGTTGCGACGCTTGGTATGGTTTCTTTTTCTGTTGAGAACGGAGACGGAAGGAGCTTCTTCTTCAGCGATAGTTGTGGAATAGGAATAATAGCAGCATGCCGTTTGGCTTGGGTGTTGGTATTTATTCCACAGTGTTCTCTGTGAGGAATGCTGGCCCTGACAGCGAGCCAACTGACATCCCTTTCGCAAACCAGACCGAATGGCCGGGTTTTATTCAAGTGACCGCCAAACAGGCACCCGATTTCCGAGGCCCCCTGCTGACGTACCTACCTGGCCATGAGGCTCAAGAGGTTACGCGGCATAGCTCTATCATCATGATCAAGACACCTCTTGACGTAAAAAGGTTTATTAACCCCAAGGTGTAGCTACTGCTGTTGTAATGCTGGCGAAAAAAAAGCAAATTCCCCTCCCTCTTTCCCGTCAATCCATCTCCAGACGCCGCCCACATCAAACGTTAAGATGCCGCCGCCTCCTCCTTTTTTGGGGATCTTCACGTATTTTTGGTGTATTTGGCTATGGTATCCTCACGGCTCCGTCTAAGTGGCTCAATATCTCTTCGTCATACTCGTCGCAACCGCTTAACCGAAAACGAGCTTGAAGATATCGTTGAAAACGAACCACTGGCCCCCAGCATCCTGGACAAGCTGGAAAGCCTGGGAGAACTTGAGAGGGTTGGCCTCCTCGTCAACCTGTTTGCGAGAGACTCATATCAGTATCCAGCCTCTTCCTCTAGAGTGTCATGTGAAGCTTACCAAGAGCTGGCCGGTGACCAAGATGACGATACCACCAGTAGCGGTGGGCTGGGCATCAGCGGTATCGAAGTGGTGCTTGACCTTCTGGAATGGGAGGTTCTGCAACAAATCAAGTCAACAACCGTCCTTCGTCGTGTCGCGTGGTCAGAGAATCTCTTACGGCGAGCTTCTCAGCAATGCTGGCGGCACCAAGGGATTGCGAAGACTCGAAGGTCATCATGGAGTTATCTCTCTGATTGTGCTGTTAGTCACCAATTCCTCCACACACAGCTCGTTCGGGCCAGAGACATACGTAGAGACCAGCCAGAGATTTGCGGTCGGTATCAAAGGTGGTGTAGTAGTGGGTGACGAACTGCGCTGTTGCGGGGGGAACACAAAAAACAGCGCGCGTTAGCTTCTCTTCTCGCGATCGTGTATACAGCTTCATTCGAGCTGCAGCGGTGGTGTAAACTCACTCGCAATTCCCTGGAAATCGACTGTTTGCCATATTGTCAGCTCTAGACCACATCAAGTTTGCATAACAAGCTTGCGCGCGCAAAGGTGAAGGCGTCGCGAACACATCCCCCCTCTCCTCCTCGATAGCGACATGGCGGGGTAATCCGAACATCTTCAATTTCCCAACCCCTCCAGCTCTCTCCCTTTTGCGCGCGCACACACACACAGCCTTGTCATAATTTCAAAGGGGGTCTCGGTTGTAAAAACTTACAAGCCATCTTGACGGTATTTTGATTGCTTCGCAGCAGACAACGACCTGAAGTATTTTTTGAAGAAAATGTAGTTGACGAGAAAAAGAAAGAGACGAAGTCCTCACGGAGGGGGAGAGGAGATATCAGAAGATCACTTTCGAACCAGGCACCCGGCAGCAGCAGGAGCCCAGTCCCACCGCCCGCCGCAGCCCAAGTCAAAAGTGGGGTTCCTGTGTCACTCACTCAAAGTGAATCTGGCAGCCTGATCGATCAGGCAGTCAGAGAGCTTTGGCCCAAAAAAAATTAAGCTCCCCTCCCCCCCTCCGCAGTCCTTGTCCGCACTTTTCCATTGGATATAAATTCCGCCTCCAAATTATTTTGGAGAACTCTTTTTCTTCCTTTTTCTTCACGCACCCGCATCTCGAATGGTAAGACAGCACCCCTTTTTTCTTTTGCACGCCTTTCCAGCCCCATTACCATGATGACAAAAACTGCTCTTAAGAACGGCCAACAGAATAAATCATGTTGATTAAAATCAATCATCAAGCTCAACAGTCTGACATTATACCCAACACACACACACATACTGTATTGTTTTCGCATTCAAAACAGGAGTGCTAACAATTGGACCATTAGATCGCAGATACATTCCGCATTGGATACCGCCGCCTTGGATTGTGACTTTCGATCAAGGCAGGAGACACACAAGAGTTGGGCATTCGACCTTTTGGAAGAAAAGGATAGCCGACTAGTCGCCCAACAGCCCCAACCGCCGCGTTGGGCCGGCCATTCATCAGCTTGTGAAACCCTTCCACTCGCGTGGGGTGGATATCCCAAGTCAGCCTTGATTCAAGGCGGAAGGGGGGGTGTGCATCTGCTCGTTATCTTGGGCTTCATCACTGCGGGTTGGAACTTTTTTACTTTGCTGGTGGGTGGACGGCTGGATAGGTTGTTGTCGCTGTTGGGCAAGTTTGCTCCATGCTATCACCTGGGTTACACCATGGATAATAATAGATCAATGTTTCTTCACTTCGATGCTCTGTTTATTCTCTCTCTGTTCGTGACCGTGTTGTCCTGCGCTGCCCAATGGCTTGAAGCTGGATATCGCTGATCTTGAGAAAACTGGATGAGGTGTTCAAGCCCAAGGTACGCCAGCCTGGGTCAGAGTCGTTCACTCTCTATCAACCACTTTATCACGCTTGTGCTATTCTACCGCATCAGAAAATACCTTTTGTCTTCCAGCTTCCAGCCCGGTTCTAGCTTTCTGACCATCCTGCAACCGTCAACCAGCCGCTCTCCAAGTCCCTTCCTTGCCCATCCCCTGACATCCAGTCCTTCTGCTGTGGCTCTCCTCATTGTGAGAGATCGAGATACCCCTCAAGAGCACTTACCCTCCAGATCTACAATTATTAAACCTTCCAAATAAGAATTA